TGGGAAATTGACTACAAATCAACTACCAATGAGGGAGAAGGGGACTGTAAGAATATCACAGAGCCCTATAAAGGGATCAGGTAAATTTTTATCATGGCTCATCCAAAATCCTCCCAAACCCACAACCCCTCCCCCCAAAAGACAATGACTGGTCCCTTGTGGCAGCGCTTTTCTTTGCATGACTTTAATCAGTGTGGTTATTGATGGCCGGAAGACATTTGTAATTGTCATCGTTTTGAGACGCCTAAAAATTTCCGTTTACGTGTTGCGTCGGCCGAACGTGAACATTTTTCGGTATATGTTTTGTTTTGGGGACACTTGATTGATAAGGATTATTTCGACTCGTCATACAGTTATAAATATCTTTCATGCTTCTATTTGGAAAACGTTAAACAAGATGATGGATCATTTTTAAGAACAAGCGACCGTGCCCACGGGCTTTTTTTAACCAAGTAATCTGTTTTTAAGCCTATCCAGTATGAAAGGCTATTAAGTCTCACTCGCTTAATCCTGAGTCACGTATAAAACAGTCATCACTACAGAATAATCCGATTTGTGCGATGTGATCTTCTTGACATTTGGGTAACCAAAAATAATTCTTTGTACGTCCGGAGCAAGCAACTTGAGCAAAGTCTTTTATGCAACGAAAATATTTATTCAATATTATCTGTAGAACATGGGGCATAATTTTAGAACGCCCTTACTTTGTAACCCCAAAAACATTGATTAATGTATAAAAGTGATCGTTGTTCATAGTGGTTCGATTAGGGTTTTAACATACAAATTTATATTCCATTGACATATGCCAAGAAATAAAACGAGTAAGGTGGTAGTTTAATTGCTTTCCATTGTTTTAGATGAAAACATCTCTTCAGTCATTCATTATATTTAACTGAATTCTTGCACGTTTCTGAGAGAAGCTCTTAGCTCTTAAGCTGTTGTTACCAGTTTTGTCGCAATGAAACGGAGTCTTGTTGGCGCCTAACAAAGAACTGGTCGGAAACTGGGCGTGGTCAATGATGGTCTGCTTTGTTCCCTTTCCAAATATTTTCGATTTTGTAAAACCCTAGCATGCTTTGTATCTTTGATATGTCTCAAACACGTGCGTGCAGATGTCTTTTAAGGCACGTGATCATTGATACATTTTGAACTAGTTTAGGAAGGCGTGTGAAAAATGCAATGAGTGGGTTTCGTGCAACACATGCATTCATGTTTATCATAACCGGCCGGAAGTAATTGAGTACAACAGGGGTAATTCTTTTGTGAAAGCGTAGTATGTACTATATCTGCGCTTTTAATCAATCAGTTTACATGCTCGTTGAAGGAAATGAAAAACCAGAGTAAATAATTGTCGTTACAGACTAAGTATAGGCACCACCGGTAAGAGATAAACTTATCGACCCAGGACCACCCATTACTAATTGAATTCTCTTCCAGAATTGTATTTTCCCTTCTATTTAATATCATATGCTGAGTGAAGTTCAAGCGATTGCCCGACATCCTGAAAATACGAAAAGGAATTCTCTTACAGTTGAAGGAAAGAACGAACAGAGGGATAAGTCTCACGTATGCTTGACGCACTAAGTTTCAAAGCTGACATAATTTCACTGCATGGCTGCATGCAATCAAATGGATAATAACAATGAACAACCATTGTTGTCTACACATTCATATGGAGGGTTAAGCAAACTAAACCCTGTCACTGAGACTACTTAAACGCTTCCTTTATATCCCATAAGTGAAAGCCCCACTCTGCTTATCTGAACGTGCTGGTAGAAGTCGCGCCATTTCGAGAGGCAAGCCGCAGTTATACACCTTAATCCAAACCCCAAGCTTTATTTTACTTGATACCAGTTCATGTATAGAAATATCATTCACTGTTTTTGTACTCAAAAAATTTCTCTTTAACACAGGCATTGATATTACTTAATGACTCTACCGTTTGAATTCCCTGTCATGATCGTAAATCCTATAATCAGACATATGATCTGATGTTAGTTGAAAGGTGAGGACATCAGTGCCAAAATAGCTAAAAATACCACGCGATGCAAGAGACAATAGGTTAATAAAGAGGCCATATCAAATTATAATGCACTGGATCTGCCTTTGTACAGATTGTATGTGTTGATCTCTGATAAAATACCATTAGGAGCACAGCCAGAAACTCAGCATAAGACTTCTGGGAATGTTTTCTTTGCATTTGATATTTCGTGTTAGTTCCTGTTTCTGTTGATGCCGTTTGTATATGATAAATCATTGAAAGCGACTTTTCAAAGATTATATTATTTGATAAAGATATTTGAGTAATTTGTGGAGGACTTCTAAAAGTATTGGCTATTTCAGAAACTTATCACACGGAGAGTGGGGGCGGCGTATTATTAGGATTTGTCTCTGTCACGGTAAATTTACCGGATCCCACATAAGGCCCTGTGATATTCCCTCATAGGCAGTTAGTTTTCTATAGTTCTCCCTTAAAGGTCGGTTGGTGGCTACTGATCCCATTCCATTCCCTCTGAAAGCCACGTGATCCCTACAAAATCCTCTGGTCCCTTATCAGCGAGAC